TGATAAGTCGACCTATTTTGATCGGCTGTATATATTTATAACTCGATCAGCATACTGAGGACAAGGATACATTGCAACACGCATACATTGTAACTGTACATGTAACTGTTCTTCGTTATCACGTCGGCATCGCAAGGTCAAAATTTTGTTTATAAGGGTTTGATATAGCCAGCTGTCCGTTACCTGTGGTCTATTTGTCCTTATAATCACCTGTCTCTTTTCTATACAACCCGTGAAGACCCGACTTGGGTAGTGTTTCTTTGTCAGCACCTAAGGGACCGACCACTTGAAATAATTTCCATTGAAACTAAAACGAAATTGCCTCCCACAAAAATTACATTTTTGCAAAGTATTTTCCTTTAATTCAGGCTCATAGTTCTAAATAGAAACATATCTGATGTTGTAGCTGAAAGAATATCGAATCTGAATGTGAATGATCATGCCGCTACATCCTGGTCATTGAATCAGTGTGCACTTTATGTTCGTTCTCAGCTCCCTGTGGTCAGCTCTGTGGTACGGGATAGTTCTACGGGGAAATATTGGCAAGATTACCATCTAGTTTCTGAAAAGAATATATTTAACAGAAAAAAAGAGTTGTTGAATTATCTTAAATATGTTAAAATATAATAAAAAGTAGGCAAGATACTTTCTTCAATTTCAGAACTGCAGTAATCTATATTATATATCATAGACTTACATGGGCTGTATTGGATATATTTGTTTACGGTCTGTATGGCAGACTAGATATTGGTCAGCCTTGACTGATCTTGTCTGATGCTTCATACACTTTAATTTACGTGCCATGTTACCATGGGACCAAGACTAACATATAGTCTATGAATTATTTTATTACACAATTCTTTCCTCACCTCTAAAATGAAAACAATTAATTTTGTTGATACTGCTTTTATATAAATCTAGGTTGTGTTCTCATAGAATACATATATTCCACAGTCATGGTGCAGGACAGTATGGGACCTTGAATCATGTCTAGCCATGCTAACGCCTCTTCACTTTAATAGGTGTTTAACTTATGAAATTATGATATGAAGGTTTCTTGTAAATGTTGACAGTCAGACATGTTTTAGTGTCTAGCTCATAAATGTCACTGCAATGACGCATGCGGAGATATATAATCCTTGTGGTATCAGGGAACAGGTCTGTTGACAGTTATATTTTATGAGGGTAATGGCACGCCGAACACTGAAAGGGGACACTGGAGCATTGGGGCAGTGGGGCAGTGGGACGCTGACCTCATTAGAGAAAGTACTCAGGTTATGATTAATAGCATTAACTACTGGATACTGTAAATTAAAAAACGCTCACAATTACACCGATAGTTTTTATATGAAGTACGCACATTATGACATGCCACACTTAAAAACATAGGTTACTCTGTCCGTCCAAAGATAACATACATCCTTAAAGAATGATAAATTAAGAAAGAGGATCCAAACTGCCGATTTGACAACCCATATGAAAACAATTCGTTTTATAGAAATGTCCTTTTTTTTATATTGATATACTCATTGTCAGTTGTGCACGATACCTGTTATTGTTGAGTGAGTGGGTTACAATTTAACGACGCATCGGGATTATTAGACTAAAATTTAGTCTCTGAAATCTTATATTACACAATATCCTTCTTGACTCTAAAAATAAAACAAATTCCCTATGCTGATTTCATAGTGTGGAATAAAGCTAGCTAGAGCTAACTAGACTTGCTCTTGTATGCGTTTCTAGATTTATTTATTTTCATAAAATAAATATATTCCACAGTCAAGGTGCAGTACTACGACATTATTTGAGCTATATGTTATTGTTGATATTGACCTGATGCTTATTGATAATGCAGCATTGCTTACCTAATCATGTCAACTTAACCTTGAAAAACAGACAAATATATGTTTTCTAAAAATCGAAAGGTTTGAATGAGCAATGTTGATGTGAATATATTTTTCTATTTATCTTGTTTCTTTTCTGTAATTTAATATATTCATTTTAAATTAACAACACTTGTGAATCTGTAGAATGTGCGATCTAAGTTGTAATAATCAGTGCCCAATTTGTTGTATGTAAATAACATATGCTTTTACACGTAACCGAGTGCGCGATAGAATGAGGAGTGTTTTACACCGCGTGTTGTGTATTCCAGCAGTGTAAGGCGAGGGACACACATAATTGACTTTTCACATTGTGGCGACCCTCCGTGGTCTAGTGGTAGAGCATCCGCCCGGAGAGCGGAAGGTCCGGGGTTCGATCCCCGGCCGCGTCATACCAAAAGACGTTAAATGATGGTACTTGTTGTTACCCTGTCTGGCGCTCGACATTAAGGGGCTACAACAAGGACTGGTCGGCTCGGAGTCAGTATACTGTGTCTGAGTGGGGTATTCATGTTAAACTGCGGCATGGTATCTCAGTGGGCTAGCACTATAAATCGGCATCAGTCCGGACTGGTACAAGCAGCCACACACACACACACACACACACGTGCATGCACGTCGCTATATAAGTGCAATAATCTTGGACGCGACGTTAAACCCAATTTCACCTCACCTCTCACATTGTGTTCCTAAGTGGAGATCGAAACATTGCATTGGTGTGACAAGCGGGTGCTTTAACAACTTGGCCATCCTAGTGTTCCAACATGGCATACGCACCGCTGGGACGGTTAGAGAGTACAGTAAACTACGTTTATAACGAACACGCTTATAACGAACTGACCGACTTGTTTTTTAGTCCGGACCATTTGTTGTATAAATGCTGTATATATGCTTATAACGAACTACGGTTATTGCGAACTAAAATTAGTGGTCCCTTCGAGTTCGTTATAACCGTAGTTTACTGTATATGTACTAAATACTTTAATGCAATTCGCAGACATTGTCCCTATCTAGAAGGATCTTGTTCTGTTATAGAACTGTAAGCAGCTAGGTCAAGAAGGTGTGATCAGCAGACATTCCAGAGTTTCTCAAACATTGCCGAAATTGACCCAGACAGTATCATATAACTATAAACAAACAAATCTGGTGCCTAGCCATTATAAGTTGCATCACATTGATATTTACAGTAAACTACTTTTTAGTCCCGACTAGTTGCTGTAGTTATGCTGTATATATGCTTATAACGAACTACGGTTATAACGAACTAAAAATAGTAGTCCCTTTGAGTTCGTTATAACCGTAGTTTACTGTAACTCCCTTGCAGTCTGGTCAAAACTGACCTCCTGTGTCTTACCGGCATCGGGTGTAAACAGGACAGGGCTATACGATAGAAGAGTCAAGGAAGGGGTGTTAGATTACTTGTTTTGGCACACCTTTAGCGATTTTCATTGGAGTTTATAACATTACGTAGAAGTCTCGTGCCGTAATGTGAATGACCATCCAGGTCACCTTGTCCCAGCTTCACACTACGCGATCGCTGTTGGGGGCTTTGCGAGCCTGTTCCACATTCTGCTTACACCACTCATCTGTTTGACAGCACACATGCTATCTTGGACTCGGGGGTTATTGCGTCGTGAACGTTTCGCTGTTTTCATTAAATGTCACAGCTAAGAATTGGGGTTATTACTTCCAAGCGTAACGAGGTACACATGATGACATAGCTGTTGAAATAACAAAACAACTCCCCTCTGATAAGGGAAGCTAGAGTAAATTTTAATTATGTTTTTTTTGCGGAATGCAGCATCATCCCAAGGCATTGGAGTCAAACAATTTTGTTTTTTGCATTATAATATAATAAAGCGTACTGACGTATGCACATTATTAACAGATGTTTTCCTTTTTCTGCGCATGCCTACGAGCAACCCCTTCAACGTCAGAATATAATCACAGGGTAACGAATTAGTTTAAGTGGTAATCGCACCAAAACACTCGTCGGCCTTGGGATCGATTGACGGAATTGTTGAGACAGCATCATGTACACATTGTAGATCATTTCTTTATCAATATAGTGCAATATCAGATGATTACTATTCGCTATATGTGCAGTAACAGAACAATTCCCCGTGAATAGAACTACTAACGGGATCGGTGATCAGGCTTGCTGACTTGGCTGATGCACGTCATCGTATCCCAGTTGTATAGATCGATGCCCATGATGTCAATCACTGGATTGTTTGGTCCCGACTCGATTATTTACAGACCGCCGTCATATGGCCATCTTCCCGAGGCAAGGGAGTAAACTGACAGTACAATTCCAGTTTCCACCCTTGCTAGCCTGTCTTACAGACCCTGATACAAGTATATCCAATACAGCCCATGCAAGTCTATAATGTTTGGCAAGTCTAGTTTTCTGCAGTAACTGAAAATTAAGAGAGTCTCTGGGCTCCTTTTTATAACATTTTTATTAAGATGACTATTTTATTTCTGAACGATATGTTCATTTCAGAGACTATATGTTAGTCTACACCCTTACCGAACTAGACTGGAATTACGTGGCTCGATCGTAGCGCCACAAGTGGCTTTTACGAGTTATGTCCCTTATATGTCCCTATTCACCAATCAGCGTCCACCTCTCGTATCACTTGCATTTGCTTCGACAAGACGTTCTGATCGAGAATCAAGATCTTTATTGTTAAAATACAGATTTTACCTCGCGGAGTGCATCAAATCATGTAAACACCTTGATTAAAAACATGAAAAGATTTGGAGTGACGAGTGAGTACTTTAACCGCTAGGCTACCGCAATATTGGTCCATTGCTGATCTGCTGGCTGATGCGGAGAAAGACTCTTGATATGTGAGAGAGACCACACAATTTGTTCATGGTTGGATGTTAGCTGTCCCTTTTATTTGCACAGCGTATAACATCCAGTGCCAAAAGCGTTAGCTGGTCACGCCGAAGTTCCGGGTTCGAGTCTCAACTGAACAATTATGTGCAATCCATTCTTACCCCCTTGTCGTGATATGGCTAAAATAATATTGATAACCGCATAACACCCGACTTGCTCAGCAGGTGTTTTAGCCAATCCATATAATATGTTCTTGTTTTTGGTTTCAGTTTGGCTGTTCAGCGGAGGCGGCGAGATGTTAAAAGAAACATTGAAAAACCAGAGTATCATCCTACCACATTATACGTCACTTCCGGATGGTCGAGACATAATAATTGACACCATGACAGAATGCCATTTAAAACAAGTATGGCACATTGTACAGGAAGCTGCGCAGAACAACGACGGTTTCGGGGCCGATGAGTTCCCGACAGAAGATACCTTCCGGGATGATATAAAAGGTGGTAGTGGCTTCGCCATCTTGAATAAAGAGAGTGGTGAAATGATAGCCGCATTTGTGCTTGCTATAAGTAAATATTACCGTGGACAAAATGTTGTAGACCCATTTGTTATTGTTCAGCGTTGTGAAAGAAGGCGAGGAATCGGAGAACTGTGTTTTCAGTTGTGTGTACAGTACGCCGGGACATTGGGGTACATGGGGATGTATGTAGACACATTCAGCTCGAATACGGCTATGATCAAGATCATTGAGCGGTCGGGAGGCTTTCAGAAAGTGGGTTATCTCCCCATGGGAGGTCGGACAAAAGATGGCGACATCATCGGTTCATTCATCTACTACAGGGACCTCAGAGTTACGTGATACTTATTCGTTGATTTACCAAACCTGGATCTGTTCAGGATGCAGATGGCTACACATACCTCGTGTAGTGCGTTGACTCGATACTCAGGGCCGTGTGCCATTCACGACCAACTCGAAGCCGAATAGCGACTCGTGCCCCTCTCATGGCCATTTTTTGCGACCGGGTTCCGTCTTAGCGCAAACGGGCATACCTAAAACAATGCAAGACATATGTAAATATTCTGAGGGATTCTTTGACGAAGAACTTGAAATCATACGCGCATTCTGATTGGTTTGTCGTATCTTCGCACATAACATTCATCGATAGGGGGACGAGCCTTCTTGCAGGTTACGGAAAAGGGCGAGTGGTGACGAATGGGCCGTGTGCATCACTTGGCAGCTATTAGAGTTTGCTTAAATTCAAGGGGCAAATAACTCATGCTTTCCCAGTGATGTCAACTAGGGTCAATGGAAGGCAATGGAAGTGGTACACTGGCCGTACTGTATATAAATAAGCCATGCAATCCTCAAAAAGAAGTATCAACTAGGACAAATATCTGTTTGATTGGCATTCTAGAGGTTGGTGATTTTTCTATCTGAAATGTATTTGTGGAATATGTCGATGTAAATCAGCCGGTTCATCTGACTGGTGTTCAGTTTAGGTCTACGTGTTAATAGTTCCCTGCATTGAATTTAAAGTGTCTGTGTGTTTAGGGTTACATGGTCGTCGTCTTAGATTAAGAATAAATAACCTGAGTAAATGTGTCCCCTTCTTTAAAACAGAATGTCCTTCAATACATGATATTCCTTTAGTCTTGTGTGATAGCACAGGAAGACACAGTGTGTAAATGTATAGAGATGTTTATTCAGTTTATTCACTTTATTCAGTGTTCATGTATCCGGGATATGTGTACATGATGATTTCATGAAGCGGTGGACACGCTGAATATGTATAGTTAATAACGGAGAGTTTGAGGCTCAGATTAATAAATATTGTTATCATTTTAGCTGCGTGTCTTTTGTGGTCATTATTTATGTCAGATGTCTAGGTTGACGCTATCGTAATTGCCATTTGTACATTCTTGTGTATTAAGGACTGAGTAAGGCAGGGTAACAACAAGTACCATCTTTTAAACGCTATGGCATGATGCGGCCGGGGTTCGAACCGCCGATCCTCCGCCCTCGGGCAGGCGCTCCATCCACTAGACCACGACATGTAAGTAATCGCACCTGGATGAAGTTAATGGTTGCCGACATCCACGAGCAACAATCAACGCCATAGGTGGACGGTGACATAAAATCAGCAGATTCTAGAACTATTCCTAAGTTAATGCACTACGTACAGACACGCACACACGCAAACGCACACACACAAGTAGAAGTAAGTACGTACACTCAAGCGCACAGAAGCGTTATCAGATTGATATAAAGTGCTTGCCTCACGTGGAGGCTCGGTGATGACCGATCATTGAGGTCAAGGCCATTCTAAAATCTGTCTGGAATATCGATCATCATGCGTATATAGCTTCTACAAACACGGGGATCAGTGCTACGATATGGAAACAAGAGATGTGTGACGTAATCATCACCTGATTGCACTGGTAGCAGCTGTACACACATCCCACTACACACATTCCACAATACAAAAACTATCCGGTGTCAGCATTGGGCGGAATCCATATTGGAGATGGATTTACTAGTTTCATTAGTTCACGTGACTTGAATATTACATGACACAATCTGGCGACAGGTGTTACCCTTACATAAATGTTGCGCTCGATAAAATATATCTACCAATCACGAAAAGGGCTTTTCTCAAAATCGGCCCTCATTTTGTTCAAACTGTATGTGGGTGATATACAGATTACAGAGGTACCGAACGCTTAGTCTCTGGAAATATATAATTTGACAGACACAAACAGCTCCATTTAAACTGAAAAGGTGTCCCATTGAAATGTGAGGTACAGAACCTGTGGAAAATCTATAGCTAAGGTATCAATTCTGGTTCTCTCAGCTTTTACCGTTACCTACATAATACTTTAATCGGAAAGCAGCGGAGTCGTCATATCCGAGATGGCCGTGAAACTGATGGTCGCCAAGTGCAGCGAGGTATTAGCATCGTTATCAGCCGAGTGGACCCGAATGAGCAACGTGGGTATACAGGTGTGATGAAAGAGCATTTTACGACTGCTTCACACAGTGGATATCCCAGCATGCATCATCCTGACATGCTTTTTCATTCAAGATAAGGTTTTTGGCCCCGCCGAACCAACGATGTGGAATACAGGAACCAAATTTAAGACCAGTCTTTTATATTCCCTCTGTGTTTGTTAACAAAGAATTTACCCAAAATAGCTACATGTGGGAAAGAGTGCAACTAAGATGACAATAGCTCCTGGGAAGTACAAACCCTGCAAGATGACAATAGGTCCCGTGAAGGAAAAATCCTACAAGATGACAACAGCTCATGTGAATGAAAAACCCTGCAAGATGACAATAGGTCTTGTGAGAGAAAAACCCTGCAAGATGACAACAGCTCCTGTGAATGAAAAACCCTGCAAGATGACAATAGGTCGTGTGAGAGAAAAACCCTGCAAGATGACAACAGCTCCTGTGAAGGAAAAACCCTGCAAGATGACAACAGCTCCTGTGAAGGACAAACCCTGCAAGAGGACAACAGGTCATGTGAAGGACAAACCCTGCAAGATGACAATAGCTCCTGTGAAGGAAAACCCTGCAAGATGACAATAGTTCCTGTGTAGGACAAACCCTGCAAGATGACAACAGCTCATGTGAAGGAAAAACCCTGCAAGTTGACAATAGGTCTTGTGAAAACCCTGTAAGATGACAACAGGTCACGTGAATGACAAACTCTGCAAGATGACAATAGGTCGTGTGAGAGAAAAACCCTGCAAGATGACAACAGCTCCTGTGAAGGAAAAACCCTGCAAGATGACAACAGGTCCTGTGAAGGACAAACCCTGCAAGATGACAATAGGTCATGTGTAGGACAAACCCTGCAAGATTACAATAGGTCCTGTAAAGGACAAACCCTGCAAGATGACAATAGTTCCTGTAAAGGACAAACCCTGCAAGATGACAACAGCTCCTGTGTAGGACAAACCCTGCAAGATGACAACAGTTCCTGTGTAGGACAAACCCTGCAAGAGGACAACAGGTCATGTGAAGGACAAACCCTGCAAGATGACAATAGCTCCTGTGGAGGAAAACCCTGCAAGATGACAATAGTTCCTGTGTAGGACAAACCGTGCAAGATGACAACAGCTCATGTGAAGGAAAAACCCTGCAAGTTGACAATAGGTCTTGTGAAAACCCTGTAAGATGACAACAGGTCACGTGAAGGACAAACTCTGCAAGATGACAATAGTTCCTGTAAAGGAAAAACCCTGCAAGATGACAATAGGTCCCGTGAAGAAAAACCCTGCAAGATGACAATAGTTCCTGTGAAGGAAAAACCCTGCAAGATGACAACAGGTCATGTGAAGGACAAAGCGTGCAAGATGACAACAGCTCATGTGAAGGAAAAACCCTGCAAGATGACAGCAGCTCCTGTGAAGGACAAACCCTGCAAGTCGACAATAACTCCTGTGAAGGAAAACCCCTGCAAGATAACAATAGGTACCGTGAAGGACAAACCCTGCAAGATGACAATAACTCCTGTGAAGGACAAACCCTGCAAGATGACATTAGGTCCTGTGAGGGACAAACCCTGCACGATGACAACAGGTCCTGTGAAGGAAAAAACCCTGCAAGATGACAATAGCTCCCGTGAAGGACAAACCCTGCAAGATGACAATAGTTCCTGTGTAGGACAAACCCTGCAAGATGACAACAGCTCATGTGAAGGAAAAACCCTGCAAGTTGACAATAGGTCTTGTGAAAACCCTGTAAGATGACAACAGGTCACGTGAAGGACAAACTCTGCAAGATGACAATAGTTCCTGTGAAGGAAAAACCCTGCAAGATGACAATAGGTCCCGTGAAGAAAAAACCTGCAAGATGACAATAGTTCCTGTGAAGGAAAAACCCTGCAAGATGACAACAGGTCATGTGAAGGACAAAGCGTGCAAGATGACAACAGCTCATGTGAAGGAAAAACCCTGCAAGATGACAGCAGCTCCTGTGAAGGACAAACCCTGCAAGTCGACAATAACTCCTGTGAAGGAAAACCCCTGCAAGATAACAATAGGTACCGTGAAGGACAAACCCTGCAAGATGACAATAACTCCTGTGAAGGACAAACCCTGCAAGATGACATTAGGTCCTGTGAGGGACAAACCCTGCACGATGACAACAGGTCCTGTGAAGGAAAAAACCCTGCAAGATGACAATAGCTCCCGTGAAGGACAAACCCTGCAAGATGACATAGTTCCTGTGTAGGACAAACCCTGCAAGAGGACAATAGTTCCTGTGTAGGAAAAACCCTGCAAGATGACAACAGGTCCTGGGAAGGAAAAACCCTGCAAGATGACAACAGCTCCTGTGAGGGAAAAACCCTGCAAGATGACAATAGCTTCTTGGAAGGAAAAACTCTGCAAGATGACAATAGTTCATGTGATGGAAAAACCCTGCACGATGAAAATAGCTCCGAGGAAGGAAAAACCCTGCAAGATGACAACAGGTCCTGTGAAGGACAAACCCTGTAAGATGACAATAGTTCCTGTGTAGGACAAACCCTGCAAGATGACAATAGTTCCTGTGTAGGAAAAACCCTGCAAGATGACAACAGGTCCTGGGTAGGAAAAACCCTGCAAGATGACAACAGCTCCTGTGAGGGGAAAACCCTGCAAGATGACAATAGCTTCTGGGAAGGAAAAACCCTGCAAGATGACAATAGTTCATGTAAAGGACAAACACTGCAAGATGACAATAGTTCCTGTGTAGGAAAAACCCTGCAAGATGACAACAGCTCCTGTGAAGGACAAAGCCTGCAAGATGACAATAGCTCCTGTGAAGGAAAAACCCTGCAAGATGACAACAGCTCCTGTGAAAGAAAAACCCTGCAAGATGACAACAGCTCATGTGAAGGAAAAACCCTGCAAGATGCCAACAGCTCATGTGAAGGAAAAACCCTGCAAGATGCCAACAGCTCCTGTGAAGGACAAACCTTGCAAGATGACAATACTTCCTGTGTAGGACAAACCCTGCAAGATGGCAACAGGTCCTGTGAAGGGCAAACCCTGCAAGATGACAATAGCTCCTGTGTAGGACAAACCCTGCAAGATGGCAACA